CCACTGTATGGATACTGGGGTTCATATCGACACAACTCTGGACTCTGTCGGCCATATCCACGTCCGGGTCGTATTCGGTCACACATTTCGGTGGATTCAGACTTTCGATCGACTCTTTGCTGAAGAGGAAGATAGGACTCGTGTCAGTCCCCGAACACCCGTACGAACAAACTCTGGCCGTTGTGTTCAGACTCTCGCCGCCACTGATCAGCAAAACCTGTTTCTCTTCGGGAACTTGACATTGAATGGCAATCGCTTTCTTCAGATTAGCCACACTTTATCATCAAAAACGAGACACAAAGACAAAGACAGGATATTAGCATTACGTCGGGATCTAATCATGTAATCATAACTTACGTCTGAAGTGCGAGATTCATGTCGAACGTCATCATAGATCCGCTCTCCACAAGAAATATGTACAACATTTCTGGTGATTATGTCTTCCCGTAGTCTTCAGACCAAAAACAGATCAATCACTCAATCAATGGCTCAATCAATGCATCATTTGGTGATTAATTCACTGCAAATGAATGCCATTTAAATGCGGGACAAATGTATGGATAATATGAATGGTTTGCGTCAATGGATGCGATAAAAGGTCCGCCAAAACCAAAATCAGTGCAAATAATAAACACAATAAACAGCGAAAACGTCTGAAACGTATGATTGCATTGAAATGCGAGACAAAAGTATTGCTAAAAGTATTGCCAAATGTTTTTATCAATGAGAGACTCAACGCTTAATCATATCATTTGCAAACTATTTGTGCGCAAAATCAACGCATTTATCAAATGTTTGTTTATTTGTTTGAATCGACGCTAAACTCCAGCCTTTCGTGCATTTCATTGGCTTTTCTATCCATTACTTCCTATTCTTTCCATACGTTTCATCTCTTTGTTATCAAAAACTTTTTTCTCCGCTTTTGTCTAAACTTTAGACCAAATCTCAATTTACAATATAATTTTCACTTGACTTTCATTTCAATGCTAATTAAGTTATAAAAGCATTTATACTCTACTGTATTAACTGTTATAGAAACAGTTGATAACTGTGAAGATTAGCCTTGCTCATTTACATTTATGCACATGATATGCAGTACATTAGGTAATACGATATTAATTACTTTAGGCGATAACTGTAATTGAAAAACTATTCAAACAATTACTGTGCGATAAATGGCTTGAATTACACACAGATTTACAGATATTTAAAATACAAACTATTGGTTAGAACTTTGGATGGATTGAGGAAACAGTGATCGACAGATACGTGTTGTCCTCATTTAGGGCTCACTTGATATGAATCGACACTTTTTCTAGGAACGTCCTGGAGAATTCAGGAATTTGACAATTTCTCCAGGCTCCAGGAAGGGGTCATTCCTGGAGATATAAAACTCCATTAATTATTTTTACTGTAAATGATTTTTAGAACATTATTTTACAAACTTTTATACATGCTTTTCTGTAATTATGTGTTCTAATAAGAGAAAAATAAGTCTTTTTACTTTTCTGATAACACAATAAATAAAATTATCTAATTCAATAGCTCTATTTGTGATAATTGACTAATAGAATACTATAACAATGCATCTAAAAACGCGAATTTTACTTCACGAGACGATAAATCTACATAAAAAATATTTTTGCATTAATATATTTAGATATAAAAATTTCTCCAGGAATCTCCAGGAAATTTGTGTAAAAAATAACTAAACTTCAGGATTTGAGAAAATTTTTCTGGCAACGCTAGCCATAGCCCACCCCCACTGTCATCAGTATCGCCGATACCACCCATCAGTGCCGGTGAAAAGCCTTTTAGACAAGACAACAAACTTTTAGTGATGTTTTAAACAGTTATGGCATTAAATAAGTTTAGATATGTTTGCGTGCATTGAATACATTTTCTTCGGGGAGTAAACCATTCATCCAGTGTTTTGTGTAGTTTGAGATTTAAATGCATTTAACACTCAAATGACTTTAGCGCTCCGGCTATCCATATATTTGATGGCCATTTGTATAGCCATTTGTTTACCCATTTTTTAGAACATTATTTTACAAACTTTTATACATGCTTTTCTGTAATTATGTGTTCTAATAAGAGAAAAATAAGTCTTTTATGAAAAGACTATTGTGTTATTTATTTTAATAGATTAAGTTATCGAGATATTGTGATAATTGACTAATAGAATACTATAACAATGCATCTAAAAACGCGAATTTTACTTCACGAGACGATAAATCTACATAAAAAATATTTTTGCATTAATATATTTAGATATAAAAATTTCTTCAGGAATCTCCAGGAAATTTGTGTAAAAAATAACTAAACTTCAGGATTTGAGAAAATTTTTCTGGCAACGCTAATATCATGTGCATAACGTAAATGTAAATGAGCAAGGCTAATCTTCACAGATATGAACTATTTCTACAGTATAACAGTTAATACAGTAGAGTATAAATGGTTTTATAACTTAATTAGCATTGAAATGAAAGTCGAGTGAAAATTATTGTAATTTGAGATTTGGTCTAAAGTTTAGACAAAAGCGGAGAAAAAAGTTTTTGATAACAAAGACGTGAAACGTATGGAAAGAATAGGAAGTAATGGATAGAAAAACCAATGAAATGCACGAAAGGCTGGAGTTTAGCGTCGATTCAAACAAATAAACAAACATTTGATAAATGCGTTGATTTTGCGCACAAATGATATGATTAGGCATTGAATCTCTCATTGAGTCTCGCGTTTGATAAAAACATTTGGCAATACTTTTAGCAATACTTTTGTCTCGCATTTCAATGCAATCATACGTTTCAGACGTTTTCGCTGTTTATTGTGTTTATTATTATTTGCAAATTTTGCACTGATTTTGGTTTTGGCGGACCTTTTATCGCATCCATTGACGCAAACCATTCATATTATCCATACATTTGTCTCGCATTGAAATGGCATTCATTTGCAGTGAATTACTCACCAAATGATGCATTGATTGAGCGATTGATTGAGTGATTGATCTGTTTTTGGTGTGAAGACAACGGAAGACATAATCACCAGAAATGTTGTACATATTTCTCGTGGAGAGCGGATCTATGATGACGTTTGACATGAATCTCGCACTTCAGACGTAAGTTATGATCACATGATTAGATCCACACGTAATGCTAATGTCCTGTCTTTGTGTCTCGTTTTGATGATAAAGTGTGGCTAATCTGAAGAAAGCGATTGCCATTCAATGTCAGGTTCCCGAAGAGAAACAGGTTTTGCTGATCAGTGGCGGCGAGAGTCTGAACACAACGGCCAGAGTTTGTTCGTACGGGTGTTCGGGGACTGACACGAGTCCTATCTTTCTCTTCAGCAAAGAGTCGATCGAAAGTCTGAATCCACCGAAATGTGTGACCGAATACGACCCGGACGTGGATATGGCCGACAGAGTCCAGAGTTGTGTCGATATGAACCCCAGTATCCATACAGTGGTCGCGCGGGCAGAGATGGCACAACAGCTGTACGAAGTGGCCAAACAGCAGTTCCACAACTGCGAGCGACTCGTACACGACCAGCACCTCCAGCAACAGGGATGGGCTGCAGTGGTCGCCAATCTCGAAGACATCGCCAACTCTTTCGCAAACAGCGCTCTTCTATTGGAGGAAATGTTCAATCAATTCATTGAAGAAAAACAATTTTTTATCGATTTATTACAAAAGTAAATATTTTTAACATATTTTAAGCGAAAACAACATTTGAAACACTTTTGTTTGCAGTTTCGATGAGGACATCAAAACCTTATCAGAGATACCGATATTACATAATTTGATGACAAGTGTCAACACTAATGAGACGAACGACCAAAACAAAGAATCGACGAGTCTTTTAGAGTGGATCAGTCAAAGGGATAACCAAAACAGTTTGGATCAACTCTCCCAACACTGCGGTATAATTTGATGACAAGTGTCAACACTACGAACGACCAAAACAAAGAATCGACGAGTCTTTTAGAGTGGATCAGTCAAAGGGATAACCAAAACAGTTTGGATCAACTCTCCCAACACTGCGGCCAAGGGTTAGAACAGTTCGATTCGGAACAGCTCTTGAGAGTGAAAGACGAGGTGAAGGAAGTGATGGATTCGTGCAATCAGTCGAATATGAAAGAAGTGAAAGGTTTGGAGGAAAGGCTCTATGGGTTGGAGAAATTGATGTGTGAATCGAAGAAGATTGTGGACGAACAGAGAGATCTGGCGCAGGCTTTCTATCAGAACCAGGCGCGAGCCTCCAATCTGCGGGATCCGTCCATTTTGCCCGACCTGTGCGCCAGTCATCAGCAACAGCTGCAGGTTATGCTGAAGAACCACCAAAAACTGCGTGACATCCGGCGCAGGTGTGCGCGCGCTAAGGAGGAACTGTCCGGCAATCTTCACGCCCGCCTTCGATGGATTGTCTTCATCGAGAAGAAGCTGTCGGAAGTGGACTCAAGAGTATTGATATATCGGGAAAATATTCGGCGACTGAAGAAGCACTTGAAAGTTGTCCATCAAATCCATTTGGCGCCCAAAATCTATTTGGCGTCAGTCGTCGAAGTGGTCAGACGTAAGACATTTTCGAGTGTATTCCTCGAGTGGGCGACGAGTTTGGCCCAAAACTCAGCCAATTTAGTCGAGAACGAGATCCAAACGAGACAAACGTTTTCCACTCAATTAGAGACTCATTTTCTTCGGATTTTATTCCCGGGAATGAATGACTTTCCGCCGCGTTTTGCCAACGAATCGCCCAATCCTTTCGACACGGATTTACCAAATGTTACCGATTCTGACGTCGAGTTTCTTCGCAAACAGTTACCCGACTTATGCGATATGTTGTCCGTGCCTTCGCCTGTGCCTATGCCTCAGCCGTCCACTCAAAAAGACTCGTCTATCGCTCCCATTGTGTCAAAACCCAGCGAATCAGACACTGAAGAGTACGACACCGTTAATGAAGAATTCGATAACAAGGCTTCGACTGGCAATGAATTAGATTTAAAACAAACCGATTTGTCTTCAAGTAATGAGAATAGAGTTGATTTACACTTGAGAGAAGAATTTACACAAATGTCTATCAATGCAATTAATTACGAAGAAATGGAAACAAATTTAGAAAATATTAAAATTGAATTACAAGAGAAAAGCGATGAAAATAAAGAATTGGTTGCAAATTGTGATAAATTTAAATATGAATTGAATTTAAAGGAAAACATTATTAAATCTCTGGGAAAAATATCATTTGATTCGATCTCTACTTTAAAAGGTCTCAAATTATCATTTGTCGAACAATACAGTGATCTTCGGAATGAGTATTTGTCTTCGTTTGACTCAATGAAAGAACAGTTAAACACTTGGCTTGTAATGAAAGATAAGCAGTTGTCTGAAAATGAAGAGGAGTTTAGCGAACGTTTGGAGGAATACAAGAGCAAAGTATCGGATTTAGAGAATTCAAGTCTTGTATCGAACAATGAAATCGATTCTCTTAAACAAACGATTGAAACTTTAAGCAAAGATAACGAGTGTTTTAGAAGTGAAAACAATAGTAAAGACATGAAAATAAGTGAATTACAAAATGAAATTCTCGAGAATAAGAAAGAGTTGACTTTAGAGCACGAATTGGAAATGACTTCTTTGGGCGAAGAGATGGACAAATTGAACGATAAGACACAGACACTCGAAGACTTAATCAACGCAAAGAACGAGGAAATAATAGCATTGCATCAGAAGTACGAGAAATCAGAATCGGATCTTTTGGTTCGCTTTCAGGACGAGAAGGATTCGCTTAAAAAGACTTTGAATGAAGACTTCAACCAAAAAGAAGAGACGTTAAGAAATGAATTCGAGGCTAAAGTGAAACAATTGGAGCGAAATAACGAATCGACTCTAAATGAGTTGCGGTTAGAGATGGAGAATCAGAAGACAAAGGGTTTGATTGAATTGAAAGACAAGTTGGATGCGGACCACAGGCACGAAATGGATAGCCTTCGACATCGGTTTAAACTGGCAATCAGTACGACTTCTATTGAGAGAACGCCGTCTGAGACGAGTCTGGAGAGAGTGAATCTGGATGTGATCGACCAGTTGGCACAGGAACGGGAGGTCCAGAAACTGAAACAATTGATTTTGGATGAGAAGAACAAATACGACGAACTGCTCATTAAATCCAAGAAAGATAGAGACGAAGAGATGAAAGCAATGAAATCAGAAATTGCGGCCAAATGTCAGGTGAACTTCAATGAAGCTCTCAATAAGTTGTCAAATGAAAGAGAACTTTTAGCTCAAGAATTGGCCGTAAAAGACAGCTGTATTCAGGCGTCTATTTCTGCTATAAATGATATTATTTCTAAATTAAATGGTTTGCAAAAGAGTGATACAATTGAGACACAAGGAAATGAAATGTTGGTTCAAATTGAAAGCGAATTAAAGTCATTAACCAATTGTTTTGACCAAAAGCTCAACGAATCAGTGATTTGTGATACAAGGCCTCAATGTTCCTGCAATTTCTCAAAGAATAGATTAGGATTGTCTACATATTCAATAAGAGTTCATAGGACTAGCACTTAGCATTGTCCGTAGACTTAACATTAGTCCATAGGATTAGCATTAGTCCCCGGGGTAGAAGAGGGAGGTGATAGCCAAACGATTCTATAAACCACATTATTTATATCAGAATAGTGATTAAAAATTTATTTTTTTAGAACGTTGTGTCGTGCAATAACCAACAAACAACTAACTAATATAATTCAATAAATATATAATTTGTAATGTAACTAATATTACAGTTTAATGCAAATCTGTTTATTTACAAAATGTTGTTCCATATATTTGTTTCCAACAGGGAGGTATTTCTTATTGAGAAGTTTTATTTATAATGATTATTTTAACATTATAAGTATAGGAAATCCAACAAATATTATATTTAAATTCAATTTCTTATAAGAATGTTCTCCCACAAGAAAAGTTGCCCCACGAGAGGTTGCACTGTATAAGTATCGCAATAGAATTACAATATCTGCTGTGTTATTTGTAGATAAATGTATGATTCAGATTAATATTTTATTGAATGGTCCATGTCATAATGTTTGAATTATTATGTAATTATTATTTTATTAAGTTTTAATACAGTAGCTTATTAAATAACTTATTATGTCTTGTCTCAATTTAATTCAGATACAGTTGTAAAGTTATTTTTATAATTTAAGATTTTTGCATTTTATAGTAAATTTTTCAACTAGGTCAGGCAAAATAATGTAAATCTATTAAAAAGTTTTTCTTTACGTAAACAGTCTAAATGACAGTAAATGCAAAACAATTTATCTACAAAATGTTAATTAAAATAAATACAATTATAACATTAATCAATTGTTATATAATAAAATAAGGTATAAAGATTTTTTTTTTATCAACCAATGTAGTATTTTAAAATATTTACAATATTTAAATAAACAATTATTAAAATTATTTACAGTCTACAATGTAGTTGTAGATTTTTATATTACGTCGTGAGAATCCGGACTATTTAAATAACAATGATAAAATTTAATTAATATAGTTATTCATTGGGCTTATCATTACATCTACAAATGCGTTAACTGTCTATCATAGACTTATGTTTGTACGTAAGACGACTTTTACAATGGATATGCAATAGTCATACAAATGGTATAACTAATAATGAGTAAGCAGGACTATTTCATATGCATTTCTAAAAGTCGTTTCCGTCCAAACATAGACAGTTAACGCATTCGTAATTACATCTAATAAAATTAACGTGACAAGAGTTTTATGAAAAATAAGTTTTATTAATAATATTAGTCAAATATTTTAAATAATTTCAATTGAATAAAATAATAATTGAATTATATTGAACTATACAGAATTATGGTCAAAATATATTGCTTTCGAATGAGGCCAAAATTATTAATAACATACAATTCCAACAACTAAATAAACATTTATTTGATTACACTACAGTTTGTTATTTAGTTAGCTTTAATAGCATTTTGTACATTGTAATAATTTTAAATTATTTTAACAATTAAATAGCATTTGATAATTTTTATATAAAGTTAGTAATATTATCTTTATTATCTATAATAAGTTTCATTTGTAAGTTTTTTAATTAATATAATTCCATATTTAAAAACATTAAATAAAATTATTATAAAATTCAAAACAATTATGCCTTTGAATTAATTAATTTTATCAATTAACATAAAGTTTAGTTACATAAGTTTTAGTTACATTAACACACATTTAGCTTATCATAATTATATAACATTTAACCAATCCTGATATAATCATCTATCATTTTAATCCAGCCCTGTGCCCACTGTTCCCAATGCATTAATATGCCGCACAAATCCACCAGGTTACTTTGATCATCACTGGGGGCATCATATATTTTACAACTCAAATAATCAATTCTATCAAGGGCGTTTACTAAAATGTCAAGATCGTATGAAATATTGATCTTGGCCGGATTGGTGGACTCAAAGCGTTTAATATTGTCGGCCGTGTAGTCAAGTAAAACTTTAACCCGAGTCTCCAGGTCTGGTCGTGTGGGACATACTGGGAGCACACCTAAAGTTTGTGGTGCTAAACAATAATGGTAAAAAAATAATTAATAATTGATTGCTATTTAATAGAATAAAACATATATGCCGTTCGTTTCTTCACACCAATATATCTTATAAAAAGAATTTACAAAAATTAAATAAGCACGTATTAAAATAGTTTACAGTTAATGAAGTGGTTTTATGATAGGTTGTTATTTCAATATATGTTATATTTAACTTTTAAAATTTTTAAATAATAATAACTTATTTATAACTTGATCCAATTTAAATAAAAACTTAACTACAAATATTTTGCAAAAATACATTCAACTAGGTAATTAATTTATTTAAAAACATACCAGATTGTACCGTAATTGAAACGTCCCTGAGCGATTTACCATTTTTCTTGTTTTTACGGCAAACCTCTTTCACATATGAGCGATATATCACAAACAATACAAACGACTCAATCGTGTAAAACCAGTGGTCATTGTTTTTAACAGTGGACGCAATTTCCGATAATTAATTCACCAATAGAAACTAAGTTAACAATCGCATTAAATGATCACGTCCCCGCAAATCATAATTAATATATTAAATAATAATTAAATAAAATATAATATCCAATAATTTCATTGAACCATTCTATTATATAAAAATAATTTAAAATAATTAAATAAGTAATTATTACAATAGTTTACAGTCAATAAGATATTTAATATATATTATTGAATATATTTAATTTTTTAATTGTAGATTGGTAATAACCGTGACCGCTTTATGTTTAAGAAAATGTGTGAACCGTATGGAAATTATACACTATAAAATTTATATTTAATTTAATGGGAGGTCGTATATTAAATGCAACAGGCTTGGTAATAACTTATTTATTATTCAGTTCAAGAAGTAGTTGAGCCACTATTTTTAACCACAATTCAGTATAAATAATGTGGTTTATAGGATCGTTCGGATAATTTAAATAAACCAATTAACCAAATAATAAAACTCTCGTACAATGATTGGCCGGACTTTCACCACGTGTTTCGCGCCGAAAAGCTATTGAATGGCGATTTGTTTGCAAAACGTGAGCGACTATTAGCTTAGTTATGGCACAAATCGGCCCAAAATGTACGGTCCGTGGCGGACAAAGAGCGGCGATAGCGGGAATGGTCCGCACACTCACCGGCTTTGTGGCCAAAACAACATTTGCCAACAAAACGGTGGACACAATTCACTGCCACTCACTGTTCAGTGAAGACAATGCGAAACAATCCAATGTCTGGACAATATGGCTGATGAACAGACGGCTAGGGTTGCCAGACCTCCAGGAACGTCCTGGAGAATTCAGGAATTTGACAATTTCTCCAGGCTCCAGGAAGGGGTCATTCCTGGAGATATAAAACTCCATTAATTATTTTTACTGTAAATGATTTT